CTGGAGTCTGTCAGAACATCAGCCCCCTTCCTGGGCCACCCCACTTGTCAGAGAGATCCCAGAGCTTGCACACGGAAGGGAGAGTAGGTTCCAGTAGCTAAACTCAATCTAGAACTCTAATGCCACCATCATGGCCTCCCTAATCCAAAGGAAACCTATGAGTCTTCAAGTCCAGGTTGGACACAGCAGATGCACCACAAACACGGACCTCTGTACTGAGTGCGGGAAAGGGAAAGGGAACGCTTGGACTGCACCTCCGCAGCTGTTTGCAGGTGGTAAGGCCTGCGGAGCCACGCAGAGAGGTCTGCACCCACTCCTGGCTCCCCTGCCCCGCCTGCTTTAGCGCCCAAATGGATCAGCTTTTTCCTTTCAGACTCTTACTCCCAGCTTGGCCTGGGGAGGGCCATGCTTCTCTCCAGCGCTAGCCTCACCCATGTTTCAGAGATGGTGCCATTTTGCATCCTGGGTGGGGCAGGGCGGGGCAGGGCCGGGCTGGGGCGCAACAGGCCGGCCTTGCAGAGCTGGACTCCCCCTCTGGAGCTTGGCACCGGCAGCCACACAGGCCAGAGCCAAAGCTCTTTTCATCCCCCACACCTGGCAGTATCCCAACCCTGGGAGAGGCCCTGATAGCCCCGGGGTGCTGCCCTGACGGCAGAGCTTCCCCAGGCAGTCGCCCATCCCTGCACCCAGCCCCCTGCCCATCCAGTCACGGCTGCTGCCTGGACCTTTCCACCTTGCCTTACTTCCACGAGACCCTGGGCAGTGGCCAGGAAAAATCAGTGTGGCCATAAGGAAAGCACTTTTTGCTCATGTCCTTCATGGAATGTTGCAAGGTATCATTTTTAGAAGAGAACCACTGAGGTATAATTAAGTAAACAAGGGCCTAAATTAAGAATGTATCTTAATTTAGATACCCTTAATTTAGACACAGGCATGGTGGCGCATAGAGTACCAGCACCAAAGGCTGAGGCAGGAGGAGCACTGAGTCTGAGGCCAGCCTGGGCTACAAAGTGAGTTCAAGGCCAGCCTGAACTGCATAGAAAAATCATCTCCAAAAAAAGATAAACAATAAAAACCACAAGAATTTCTGCCTGGGCCTGGGGAGATGGGTCAGTGGAATAAGCGTTTGCCTGGCAAGCACAAGAGCCTGAGTTCAATCCTCGGTTCCGGGAAAAAAAAAAAAAAAAAAAAAAAAGAATTTCTGCTTTACAGATAAAGCACTAATCTGAAACAATTTCTTCAATTCCAAATGTAAAATTTTTGCAAAATTTAAAAAATTTCATTCTGAAGTTAATATTAAAAGTCAAAACAATTTTACAAATCATAAATGCTGTTTTCTTTCTGAAACTTATATTTTCCAAGACAAGTTACCAATTTAGTTTTCTTTGACATTGGTATTTGGAATCTCTTCAAACATAGCTTATATCTTTAAGTTTGTAGCTGTCCTGAATATCTTATTATAGCTGAAAATACAAATCCAGTTGGACAACTCTCACAGAATTCCAATTACTGTATTAAATATAGAGGAAATAAGAAAAGTAGCAAAAATTGGGCTGGTGAGATGGCTCAGTGGTCTAAAGCACCTACTTGGAACAAACTAAGCTAAGCAAAGCACAGGGACAGCGGTTCGATCCCCCAGCACCACATGCCAGCCAGCCGCGCCCCCTGGTGGGCTGAGCTGGCCACCCCCCCACACACAATAAATAATAAATGTTAAAAAAAAAAATAAAAAATAAAAAAAGAACTGGCAAACACAGGGCCAAGGATATATAGCTCAGTGGCACAACGCCTGCCTGGCTAGTGCAAAGTCATGAGTTCGACTCCTGATACCACAGAAAAAAAAGAAAGAAACTGGCAAAAGTAAAAGGACACAGTGTACTGATCAATAAATTAATGGAAACCCAGCCCATCCTCCTGTTTGTTCACTCTGGAGTTCAGGGAGAGGCCACGCCTCCTCCACAAGCGCTGCCATGGAGCTGACTTCTGCAGCCTTTCTGAAAGAGACTTCATCTTCGGCATCTAACTGGGTACAGGGACCTAAGGACCTTCAACATGTGGGATGCTGAGTCTGGAGGGGCCGCAGAGTGGGCACGTCAGAGCTGGGGACAAGGTTGCGGAGACACAGGTCTGCCTCAAAGTGTACACAGAAGGACCAGCCAAATAGCTCAACAGATTAAAGTGCCTGCAAGCAGGCCTAGGGACCTGTGGTTCAATCCCCGGGCCTGCCTGCCAGCCCCGCCTCCAGGCCCTGCCTCCAGGGCATGCTAAGACAGCAATTAGTGGTGGCATTCACCTGTATTCCCAGCTCTTGGGAGGCTGTGAACAGGCAGATCACTATGAGTCCAATCTAGTAGTGAGACCCTGAGCACACTGTAGACCCTTCCCTAAAATACAAAAAAAAAATAAAATAAAATGCTGCCGAGCCTGACACGGCTCTGCCTCCCCAGCGTCACCTCCTCTGCCCGTGTGGCTCCCGGGAATGCAGCCTAGCTCATCCTCTGTGGTGCGCTCCCCCTTCCAGCTTCCCTCCCAGTCTTGCCAGGCTGAGCCATGCAGAGCATCTCATTTCCTGCGTAGACTAGCTCCTCAGAGGTGGGTCTGGAGCCGAGCCTCAGAGCTGCTCCCTTCCCAGCTTCTGCTCCTACTCTTGGGAGAGATGTTCTCTCTCCTCTCAACGCTGTATAAAGAAGTGTGCCTACTGGTGCTGTAGCATAAATGGCACTGGGAGGAGTACACAGCTGCCCGGGGTAGGGGAGAGACGTCAGGCTGCAAGAGCCACTCTGTGGAGCATGAACAAAGGACACTGAGGAAGGCAAAGGAACCCAGACCTGTGCTGACAGCATTTGGGCTGCTGGATCAACCCTCACCTAGTCTTCCTCCTAGATTTTTCACTTATGTGAACCAATGCATCCCTTTTATATCTTTTAATTTATCTTTTTAATCACCTTGAAATTCAATACCTGCAACACAAACAATCCAAACTTTGTTTTGACCAACAGGGTTCTCTTGTCACCGGGGGCTGCAATCAATCAACAGAAGAGCGAGAGTAGCTTAACTGCCCATGAGCTAAGGAGAATGGAGAGACATCCCCAGCCGCATACAACAACCTCACAACCGCCCCTGAGACATCTGTGTGTGAGGCATCGGGCAGTTCAGTCTGTTCTCACTGCTCACATCACAAGAGACCTCCGCTAACATCTTAGTGGGAAGAGAAGGAAGCTCAGGCATCCTAGGCTAAGGAGCAGGGGAGGACTTTCTGGAACAAGCAGGACTTCAGCTGGGCTGCTAGGACAGGAGCACAGGGAGGGAGGGGAGAGGAAGTCAGCTGGTACCCAACTTTAGGACTAGAGAGCTCAGGCCCTGTCCAGGGGTGTAGGGAGGGGGTAGCCTGTTAGGAGGCTGGAGGGCATCAAAGCCTTGCTCAAGACATCTGCCTAGGCTGGCTTCTCCCTAGCTGTTAGTGGGGAGTCTGCATAGCTTGGGGTGTCATGCTTTGGAAGGATAAAGGGGCATGGTTCACAGGCCTAGGAGCTGAAGAGCAGGGATGAGGACCTGCGGCCAGTGGTGAAGGGAAGGAATGTGGTGTTATTCCAGCACTCTTGGAGGCTGAGACAGGAGCATCACAGGTTCCAGCAGCCTCTGGGGTCAGGCTAGATCTGGGTCGCAAGCAAAGAAGAAGCTTGGACACTCTAAGCATTCAAAAACCAGCCAGGGACAAGCAGACTGCAGGCCAGAAGTCAAGGGGAGGAAGCTTCCAGGTGTGATCTGACCCACACACCCTTTCCTCTGGGGCCACGCCCCATGGCTGCAGGGACCCCTCCCCTGGAGAGACACTCTTCCTGTCAGAGGCTTGGGGCTGCTGGGGTGGATGCACCAAGATGTGGTTGACTGTGACCCTGACCTTAGCCAGACCACTATGAAACCATGCCCCAGGCCATAGCTCCAAAGAGCCCAAAACAGTCAACACTGAGTCTGCTTTTGAAAGCAAACTCTGCCCTTTCCCCAGCTTTTGCAATTTCAGTTTCAGGGCATCCTCTAGGGAGAAGCCCCCTCAGTCCAGGGTCTGATGAGCTTGTGTGTATGGCAGCTCCTGGAGTCAGGGAGGCTGCTGGCCAACACAGGGTGGGGGTGCTCACAAGGGGACCCTGGGGGTGCAGAAGGGCAATCAGGTTGGGAAGTGGGCCTTAGCTGCCCCTCAGTGCCTCCAGCCCAGACTACTCTACCCCTTCATGTTTCCACCAGACCCAACAAGGCCATCTCAGGGGCCTCTGGGTCCTAAGAGGCAGGCCTCCCACCTGATGACAAGGGAAGTTAGCAGGGGACAGTGGGGTGGAATAGAGAGGAGACCCTCTGGCTATGGCCTGGAGCATTCTTGAGCCTCCCCCTCCAGTCTGGGCCCCGCCCTGCGGCAGGTGGGAGGACAATGCTGCCTGTGTGCCATTGCCCCCGCCAGGCTGGCTCCAGGGGAGGGCTGTGGTACGGCCCCAGCTCCAGCCTGGAACCTCTCCCGGTGCCTGTCTCTCACAGCACAGCCCTCTGCCTGCCATCTCCACCATCCCCAGGGCCTGCTCCCCAGGACCCGGCCTTTGCCAAGGTGAGCATGCTGCTTTCCTTTCTCCTGCCTTCAGCAACCCAGAGAGCAGGGTCTGACCACAGGGGTCTGAGGGAAAGACCTAGAAGGTGGGGTGGGCCCTGGGCCCTTTATGCAGGACACCAGCCAGAAACACCAGATCTTCCTGGCTAAGATCCAAGCCTTGAAATTCAACAACCATGGGAACAGTGTGCCAGAGTAGAGCTTCAGGCCCCAGACAGTGGGGATGTCTGTATCTGTACCCTTCTCCACCTCCATGACACCTCCAGAGTCGGAATGTCCAATGACTTCTCATCCCCAAGGGGCCTCAGGCCTGATGGCTGCTTGGCTCCAAAATCCCCAGCATCTCCCAGCTATAGGACATCTGCACCAGGAGTTTAGCCCGTTCCCACCCAGGAAGGATCCCACCATGGATTCTGAGTATGAGCTGGGCCACGTCCGCAGGCTGCAAGCACGGCACACTCACATGCAGGAGAAGACTTTCACCAAATGGGTCAATAATATCTTCCGGCTCAGCCAGGTGAGTGACTGGGGTGGATCTGGGGGCAGCCTGTGGGGACATCTGCCTGACCGTGTCCTGGAGCTCTCAGCAGAGCCAGGCACAGGCTCCCCCATCCTTCCCCCAAGGGCAGCTGCTCTGCCTACATCTGCCAGGCCCCCAGGCTGAGCCTACGCCTGCCCTGTCCCCTCCCCAGGTGGGCGTCAAGATCCAGAACCTGTACACAGAGCTGGCTGATGGCACCCACCTGCTGCGGCTGCTGGAGCTGATCTCAGGGGAGGTGCTGCCAGCACCCAGCCAGGGCCGATTACGCGTGCACTTCTTAGAAAACAACAGCCGGGCGCTGGCCTTCCTCAGGGCCAAGGTGCGCTCCTGGGGCAGCTGCTATGCTGGTGCTGGGTGGGCAGCAGGGGCAGGTGCAACCACCATGGCATCCTTCCCAGGCTGGGCCACAGGGCAGGGCAGAGGAAGACACCAAGGAGGACTCTTGGCTTGGCCAGCACCTAGCTGACCACAGCAGAAACTCACCATGTCCTTACTAGGCCTGAAAATATCAGTTCTACATTCATGGGGAGCTGCAGGATGCGATGCTGAATGACTCTTGGTGTTCTAACCTTCCCCTTCCATAAATGTAGAGACAGAGCCAGAATTATTTACCAGGCAAGATCCGCACAGATGTGGAGGTGTGGGAGGCTGGCAGGGAGTGGGAAGCAGAGGAAGGGCTCGGCCAATGAGGCAAGCAGGAGGAAGGGGTGCAGGAGAGAGAGGATTTCAGCAAACACACGAGACAGGAACAGCCAAAAAGGAGCAAAAGGGACCCTCGTGCCTAGTGCCAGGGGCCGGAGAAGGGGTCATTTGTATTGAGAATCAGGAGCTGGGAAGGCTGAGGGCCCCCGTCCTTGGGCACTAAGCTTCAAGGTGGCTGTCCTGATGGCTATGGAGACACTAAGCTGGGTGAAAGGAGCCTGAGCAGGTGTGGCCCGTTGCTTAGGTCCTTGTGGCTGTACTACAGCCCCTGGGACCCGGTGTGCTGGAGAAAACTGGGAAGGGAAGGAACCAAAGCCAAAGGAGGGGGAACAACTGCGGCCCCCAGCACAGGGTCAACACAGGCTGCCAGCCACAGAAAGCCAGGCCCTATCTGGCCCTCGGCAGTGGCCCTGTGAGCCAGGCATCTTCCCTCTGCAATCTGAGAAGCGTGGAGCCCATGGCCACTGGGAGAGGCTCTGCAGCCTCCTGAGCTCTACCTCTGGCAGATCACTGATACCTGAAACAGACCTTCTTGCCCCAGAAACAAAAGAGGCCAATATGGCTGCGACAGGACAGGGAGTAGCCCCAACTCACAGTTACCAGGTTGGCACTTGCACTGAAGGGGACCTCACCATGTGCTGAGTGTTTTGGGCCAGTGTTTGGGACACCATAAGCAAAGCCACCCCTGACTTGGAGGAGCCTGTAGGAGCCAGACCAGCTACATGCTGGTGAGCACTTCAAAGCCGATTCTCTAGGGAAGACCGAAGCACCATTTACATATTTGCTGATTTCCATGGTGTTCATCCTCCCATCATGACCAAATTCAAACTACCAGCTGACACTGCTAAACAGGAGGCTGAGAGGGTCAGCCGTTAGGAACAGATGTGAGCATCCCTCCCAGGTGCTCCAGCCAAGCTGAGGTGAATCCGGAAGAGGCCACGTGCCAGGAAGAGGAGGGAAGTGCAAGGGAGGGGCTCCTGCAGAGCCCAGCCAGCACACAGTGCACCCAAGGAAGGCGATGCCCAGGCATAGTTCCCCACAAGGCTAGGCCACTCCAGGTCTGATGCCTGCCTGTTTCTTCCTGGGAGTCTCCTGGCTGGGACAAGCTGGATTCCAGGACACCCCATCCTCACAGTGGGCCCCTTCCAATTTTGGTTCCTCTGAGCCCTCTTGGGAACACAGACTTTATGGTTTAGCCCAGATACCTGTGCCCACAGGTGCCAATACCCCTCATTGGGCCAGAGAACATTGTGGATGGAGACCAGACACTCATCCTGGGACTTCTCTGGGTCATCATTCTGCGTTTCCAGATTTCCCACATCTCCTTGGACAGGGTATGTCTCAGACCCCCATGCCCCATGTCCTGGCCCAGCCCTGGCCCCGACTCAGGCCTTTGGAGACCACACAGTCCCACCTAACCTTTTTTATTCCCACACAGAACCCACAAAATCAGTGTTCACTCTTCAGCCCAGGGTTCTGAATTCAGAATGTCAGAGATATTGCCATGAGCTGGCCTGAACTAGAGTTGGGGCCTCACATCTGGCCTGGGACATGTCACTCATGAGTGAGGGTGTAGAGTGGCCCAACAGCTGAATTCCAGTAGGTTAGGAACACCAGAACAGACTATGAAAAGGGTCCATGGCGCCAGGTGTGATGCCACAGTCCCATAACCCCACTACTTGGGAGGCTGAGGCATGAAGATCACCACGAGTTCAAGGCCAGCCTGGACTACATAACAAGATCCTGCCTCCCCACCCCCGCCAAAGCCACAGAGTTGGCAGGTTAGGGGCCCCTCAAAACTCACATGTGACCATGAGCTACAAGGGAGTAGGGCCTCATTTGTCTGCACTGTCAGAGCTGAGTCCCATATTGGGGGAATGCATGGACAGGTAGACAGGCCTAAATGACCTCAGCCCTTTCAGGAAGCAACACTGGCCTCCCTAGGTCCCTGGGGCCTGGGGCCTACCACAGCCCAGCCCACGGGGGGCAGCAGGGGCTCATGGTCCCCTCCCTGGTAACTTAAGACATGGGTGGGCTCAGGCTGCCCTGCTCCCTCCAACGCCCATCCCAGCATGGCCCCCAGCTCCCCTTAGGCATGCCCAGCTCTCAGAGGCTTGGGCCTGGCCTCCTTGCCACCCCAGGCCTTGACACTCCATCCTGCCCATGCTGGTGCAGTGTCCTTCTCACCCAAACTCTAGGACCTGGTCAGCCTCACTTCTGAATTTATAAAGAGAACCACAGTGAAGGGAGTGTGCAGGAAAGCACTGGAAGGACAGAAAATCAGGAGAATTGGGAGCTGGGGGAGGGAGTGCAGAGAAGGAGAGTGCACTGAGCAGAGACAGGATGGAGACCAGACACTCATCCTGGGACTTCTCTGGGTCATCATTCTGCGAAGGGCAGGGAAAGAAGTCGAAGGAGGGAGGCAGGAGGAGGGAAAGGAGCGCTGAGTGAGGAGATGAAAGGGGGAATGGTGGAGGATAGGAGAATCATCTCCCCAGAACAGGGGAGGGGACTGAACCCAGGCCCAGGGTGCTCCACAGAAAGAAGGGATCCTAGCCCTGGCCCAGCCTGTCTCCCCACAGGCTCTGCTGTCCACCACACTGGGCCCCACATGGTGACCATGCCTCCCTGTCCAACCAGGAGGAATTCGGGGCCAGTGCAGCCCAGCTGTCTGCCAAGGAAGCTCTGCTGGTCTGGTGCCAGAGGAAGACAGCCAGCTACACCAACGTGGCCATCACCGACTTCTCTCGCAGCTGGAGTGACGGGCTGGGCTTTAGTGCACTTATCCATGCCCACAGGTGTGGCCCAGCCTCAAGCCTCCACCCTCTAAGCCCACTGCCCTGGCTCTGGGACTTCACCTACCAGTGTCCCCATCCCCTGAGCCCCTGGGCCCTCAAGGAGGAGAAGTGTACCTAATAGAGAGGGCTGGTGTTGCCAGCTGGCCTAGGTGAGCCCCTTCTATTACTTGGGCTGAGCCATGGAATTGGCCAGGTTTGCTCTGAGTCCAGCCCTCTCTACTTCTGTGTTCCTGGTTCTCTTCACCATCTGCATGGGTAGAGCCTTTTTCCCCTCTGAATCCAGGGCCTTCCCACTGAGCTATACCCCTGGTCCCTTGTTTATTTTTTATTTTGAGACAGGCTCTTTCTAAGTGACCAAACCGCCCAAAGTAACAGCCCCTGGCTTGCCCCCACCCCCATCAGAGCCCTACCTGTACTTCAAGCAGGGACTTAGGTCTCAGGGTCAGAGGAAGAGGAAGTTACAGAGGCTGTGAACAGCCAGTAGGAATGCGTACATCCGACAGTCTATTAAACCAAGGCAGGACAAAAGCTTTCTCTCTGCCAGGCCAGACCTGCTGGACTACAGCTCGTTGCACTCCAACCGCCCACTGCACAATCTCACCAGCGCCTTCCACGTGGCTGAGCAGGAGCTGGGCATTGCCCAGCTGCTGGATCCCGAGGATGTGGCAGTCCTACAACCAGACGAGCGCTCCATCATGACCTACGTCTCTCTCTACTACCACTACTTCGCCCGCCTGCAGCAGGGACATACAGTCAAGAGAAGACTCACGAAGGTTAGTGACAGAGACAGGGCAGAGCTGTGTCACTGAGGACAGGTAGTATGAGCATGGGCCCCAGAAGAAGACTCAGGTTTGAAACCTGCCCCTTCCTCTTAACTTGCTGTGTGGCCTTGGCCAACTTGCCTAACTTCTCTGTTCTCCTTGTATAACATGGAGATGATTCCTGGATAACAGAATGCTGTCATGAGCATTCGGGGAGCAGAAGTAAAGTACTCAGCCTGGTACCCGGCATACCTGGGAAGCCAGAGAACAGTGCCCCTCCTGTCCCTTCTACTCACTCGCTTGCAGACTAAGCTCCTGATGGATTAAAAGGCTTAGAGCAGGAATCTGCAAGGACAAGAGCAGAACAGGCTCTGCAGGGCAGGGGCTACACCGAGTCCATGCTTTTGAGCAGCTTCCTCACTCTCTGGACGCGATGGCAGAGGCTGAGGCCTGGGAGGGCTGTCCTCAGGGTGGGTGTCTCGGGGTTGGGGTAACACAGGCAGAGGGCTCTGAGATGGCTTAAGGGAAGGTGGCCACAGAAAAAGGCAAGAAGTTCCAGGAAGAAGAAACTGGAGGGTTCAACCCCCACAAGTGGGACCAAAGGAGGTAAAATAAGATGAGGAAGGTAGGACACATCTCACCCCAGTCACTCCTGGGTCTGAGCATGCAGTGCCCCGCTTCTCTGGGTGATCCCCACTTTGCCAAGGAAGGAACTACAGCCCACCTGGGCAAGGCTGGCTGCACCCAGCACCAAACAGGGGAGGGCCTCCAGCCCCAGGGCACCCTGACGCCTTCCCCTGTCTTCACCAGATCCTGCTCCAGCTCCAGGAGACCGAGGCACTGAGGACCAAATACGAGCAGATGGTGGCCGACCTGCTTCACTGGATTGCAGAGAAGCAGCTGCAGCTGGAGGAGCGGGATTTCCCAGACTCCCTGCCTGCCATGCGCAGGCTGTTGGCAGCCTTTGCTTCCTTCCGTGCTCAGGAGAAGCCACCTCGGCTGAAGCAGCGAGGTGCCACGGAGGCTCTGCTCTTCAGGCTGCAGATGGAGCTCCGAACCCAGAACCGCAAGCCCTTCCTGCCTGGTGAGGGCCTGGGCCCTGTAGAGTTGTCTCGGTGCTGGGCAGAGCTGGAGCAGGCCGAGGCCGCCCGGAGCCAGGCCCTGCAGCAGAGATTACTACAACTGGAGCGATTGGAAACCCTGGCCCGGCGCTTCCAGCGTAAGGCTGCCCTCCGGGAAAGCTTCCTAAAGGATGCAGAGATGGAGCTGAACCAGGCCAGAGCCCCAGCAGCCAGCCCAGCCACAGTGGAGACAGCCAGCCAGAGGCTGGGCATGCTGGAAGCCAGCATTCTGCCCCAGGAGGGGCGCTTCCAGGCCCTGGTGGAGATCGCAGACATCCTCCAGCAGGAGCAGTACCATAGCTGGGCAGATGTGGCCCATAGGTGAGCATCCTCACAGCAGGGGGAGGCCTTCCTACCACATCCCCACCTTTGTCTGTGCCCCATCCCAGCCATGGAAGAGAGGAGGGCTATGGATTCAGGTCTCCCTCTTAAAAGATCAGTCTTCCACATGTGTTTGCAATCCCATCATCAGTAGCGCATCCCTTTGGTAAAACATTGTTCTTTCTACGTAGCCTCTGATTAGCTCATTCACAAAATTTGTCTACTCTGTCCCATGTACCATTCTAGGTGCCAGAAATTTAGCAGTGAGGAAGACAAGAAAAATCTCTCCCCCCACAAAGCATACACACTACTAAGAAAGCAGACAAATAAGAAAAATCTGGATTGCAATTCAGGCCCAACCCAGGCAATTTAGGGAGACCTTATCCCCTCCTTCCCCACCCCCCAAAAAAAAAAATTAAAGGCTGGAGACATAGCCCAGTGTGAAGCCCTGTATTCAATCCCCATACCACACACACACACACACACACACACACACATTAATCTGGGCATCTGGATGGAGGGATTGGTGCTAAGAGCCTGAACCTTCCAAGCCCTCTTCTGGTTTCTCTGCATGTGGTCAGGGCAGGATACACTGCCCTGACCTCCAAACACTAAGGCTACTCAAGTCCAGATTCTGTCTCCAGCCTAGAGGCTCGAGTCCTCCAGTGCACCCAAGCCCACCAGTGGCCAGAGCCTGGAGGTAGCCTCACTGTTCCCACATGGTGGAGACTATGCTTATTCTTGTCCTCCAGGCAGCAGGAGATCACCGGGCGCTGGCAGAGGCTCCTTCAGCATCTGCAAGAGCAGAGGAAGCACATAGCAGGTGTGCAGGCTGTGCTGAACCTGCTGCAGGAGGTGGAGGCTGCCTCCGAACAGCTCCGGGAGCTGCAGGTGGGCACCAGACAAGCCAATTTCTGGGGAACATAGCAGGGTGTAGGGAGCCAGCACCTTGGGACTGCAATGACCACTCATGTCTGGTCAGGTGCCAGCAAGCTCCACCACCTGTGGGCAGCGGCTGGCAGAAGCAGTGGAGCTACTGCAGAGGCACGACCTATTGGAGGCCCAGATCTCCACGCATGGGGCCTACTTGAAGCACCTCAAGAACCAGATGGCAGAGCTGGACCCCTCCCTTGGCACGAGTGTGGATGTGCTGCGGGCTAAGGCCAGGGTGCTGGCTCAGCTCCACCAGAGACTGGTGTCTCTTGTCAGGGCCCGGTAAGAGCCCTCCCCACCCCCACTCCTCAACCTTCTCTGTAACCCAAATTATCTCTGGCCTCGGCTAAAATATTGCTGGCCTGGCAGCCTCCTCTACACTGGCCCTCAGCAAGCAAGGCCTCTGTCTCACTTGTCAAGTCACCCAGAAGGGGAAAAAATGCCCATCTAAGGGTAGGGTGTGAGCCCGGTGGGGCACGCCCTCCCCAGCCAACTCCCCAAGCCCTCTGTGACCTTGCGTCCCCAGGCGGGCCCTGCTGGAGCGGACTGTGCAGCGGGTGGAGCTGCTGCACAGCTGCGAGGAGGAGCTGGCCTGGCTGGTGGGGCGCGCACGGTTGCTGGAGCAGACGGCGCTGGGCCGGGACAGCAGCCAGATCGCAGGCGCGTTGCAGAAACACGAGGTGCCCGCTCCCTTCCCCGCCCCTACCCTTCTGATCTTCTCTCTCCTCTTTGTCATCGAGTCCCAACCCTATGTTAGACCCTAGAATTAGAGCTCCGCCGCCGCCAGGCTGTGTGCGCAGACCTCGTGCAAAGAGGGCGTGACCTCTGCGCCCAGGAGCCCCAGACGCAGCCAGATCCCTGGGAGCGCACGGAGGCTGTCCAGAGAGCGTGGCAGCTGCTCTGCAACCGGGCTGCACAGGGCGGACAGCGGCTGCGTACTGCCCTCATAGTGCAGCAGGTAGCGGTGCAGGACGGAGCCGGTCAGGGGTGTGACTGTGGGCGTGACATTGGATGGGCGTGGCCCCGGGGCGAGCGCTGTAGGGTTTCTAATCCGGTGTGAAGAGGACTCCCCCCCCCCCCGCCCCAGGTCTTCGGGTGGGCGGGGAGCTTCGGGTGGTACTCCAAGGGCTGTGATTGCTGGGCGGGGAGGCGGGCCTCTGATGACGCTCATTTAACGCTCCTCTTCCCAGTACTTTGAGGATGCAGCAGAGGCGTCCTCGTGGCTGCGGGAGCAGCTGCAGGAGCTGGAGAGCACTTGCAGTGGGCAGGACCAGACGTCTGCCGAGGCTCTGCTGCTGCGCCACCTACGGCTGGAGCGCTCTGTACGTGCTTTCGCTGTCGAATTGCAGCAGCTGGAGGAGCAGGCACAGGCGGCCGCTGCTCGGACATCGCTCATGGTGCGTGGGTCACTAAAAAGGGACCCAGAATGCACCGCAGCTGGGCCACACGGACAACAAAATGGGAGGACCTTTGTGGCCCAGCCCTGGGACTTCTGGCTTTCCCCTGGGCAAGGGAGTACATATTTTTCACACACACACACACACACACACACACACACCCCAACCTCAGAGGTATCTCCCAACTGGTGAAGCCCTGAAGCACTAGAACCCTGTCTGTCCTGTGTGACAGGTCATCAAGGAAAACTGGGCGTGACTCAGTTTGCCCAGTGCAGTCCTGAGCATTAAACAGGTTCCTCCACAAATGCACCTTTATTTTCAGTCCTAGAGTGACCCTTCACCCCTAAGCCCTTTCTGGCTCTCCCAACTGGACAGCCTTGTGGGTTTGGAGTAACTTGATCAGACTTTGCTGAAATTCTTTCCCCAATTCATAAGCCCTTGGTTTCCAAAAGGACTGTACTGGGCCTTTGGAAGGTACCACCTTTCAAGAAGCTGGGAGTGTAACTCAAGGTATAGCCATCAAGAACCCCAAACTTGTGCCTGTACCTGGGCCCTCTACCTTCATCCCTAAGAGAGTTCTGTCTCCTAGGAGCCCTCTCTGCCTAGCTTCTTCACCCATGTACTTTTTTTTTTTTTTTTAATGTATTTGATACAGGGTCTCACTACACAGCTCAGACTCAGTGATCCTCCTATTTTCAGCCTTCCCAGCACTGGGATTACAGGCATGTGTCACCTTGCCTGGTCTTGATGGCCTACTCAGTGCACCCAGGGTTGGGGCTGGAGTTGCATATGATGCCACAGTCCCTGGGCTTGCCTAAACAGTCACTTAGTCTGCTGAGCTATCTCACCAGCCTGCCCATGTACTTCTGAGCTTCAGCTCTTATCCTGCAGAGCTATTCAGGTAGCTGAACCATGTATTCAATAGCTGGATGGGGACAGGACTGTAAGACCTGGTCCTACCCTGCACTGACCAGCTTTGCAACAGTTCACACTCCCAGGTCTGAAAGGTCCATCTCTCCCTGTTCCTTTGTGCTTATTCCCAGGACCACATAATTAGTGATTTTAAAAATAGATCTATTTTTAGTAATTGTCTGGTCTAAACCCCTCACATTACAGGCGCGGTAGCCAAGGCTCAGAGGGGCTACATATAGGAACTCAAAGTTAACCCCACCGGAGAGGCCTCCTGACCTCAATCTGAGACTCTTCAATTTCACCCTATACTGCATCATCATGTCTTGCTCTAGCACTTACATTATATAGTAATAATGCTGTCTTTGGGGTAGCAGGATAGCTTCGCTTCTTCCTGTTCTCCATGTTTAATTATTTAAGTGAATGAATAGGAACTACCTTGTCCCTTTCTTGTATCCTCTACTGCCCAATAGATGCTGGCAATGACAGAAAGGTCCAGCCTAGCTCTTGACATGTTCAGATTTCTGCCCTGGGTGGGAGTTGCATCGTTACCCCCAATGCTGAGAGGAGCAGCCTCTTAGTCACCTAAGTGGAGCCCTCCTCCCTCCATACAGGAGGATCCCCCAGAAGGCTGGAGCAGGACTGACGGAGGCACAACCGGGAGGCCCCAGGATGGAACCCAGATCTCAGCCACACTGGACAGCCTGCGCTCATGCTCCCAGGTCCAGATCCCCTTGACCTCTACAGGTACAAAATCAAGAGATTGTGTGGCAACCTTAGCAGGCTGTCACCATGTGGCTCTCTCTGGAGCATTAAGAGCTGAAGGAATAAAACTAAGGCGAAGCAGGCCAGTCAAATAGCTCAGTGGATGAAAGCGCCTGTAAGCAGGTGCAGGGGCAGGGATTCGATCCCAGGCCTGCCATGCCGGCCCCACCTCCAGGGTGCCCTGAGATGGCAATTGAGACTGAGTGTGGTGGTGTGGGCCTGTAATCCCAGCTCTTGGGAGGCTGTAAATAGGCGATCACCACAAATCTGATCTAGTAGTGAGACCCAGAACATCCTGTAGACCCTTCTCTAACAAAAATAATAATAATAAAAATAAGGGGAAGCAAACCATAGTTCAGTAGAGAGAGGGAAAGAGATAGTGCTGGGTGTACAGGGGTGAGCTCCTGGATGGGGAAGAGGAACAGGTCCTGAGCAGCCCTCAGCCCATGCTCCCATAGCCACAAGCTTTGCCTGGCTCCGGAGAGAGGCTCTGGACACCTGGGAGCTGACGGATTCAGGGGACTGCCGGACCAAGGTACCCATCCGCCATGGCATGGAACAGAAGTTCCAGGTACAGTCACCAGCCCTGCCCTGCCAGGACTTCTCGTGCTGGATGGGAGCCCTGTGTGAACACTCTGACCTCTCTGGAACAGGTGGTGTCTGCCCTTCGCCCTCCAGGAGGAAGCATAAGGATCGCTGTCCCTGCTGAGCATGACCTCAACTTTGACCCCACTACCATACTCCAGACACAGGCTCTCTTGAGCCAGGACTATGAGGGGCTGCGAGCCCTGGCAGAGGTACTGTTCCTTGTCTAAGAAATGTTCATCAGGCTTCTACCTGGGGTGGGACCTTGCACCTCCATCCCAGGGGCAAAGCGCTTTGCCCTCAAGGAGCCCATTCACAGCTGAGTAGATGTCGACTCCTTGGATAGATACAGTATGAGGTGTGCACAGGAGCGAGAGAGCCCAGGGCCACTTGGGGGGCAGGGGAGGCACTGTGAGGAAGGGACTTTTAAACCAAGACTTGAAGCAGAAAGCAGGCAACCCTGGGAAAGCTGGCCAGGGCCTGAGCAAAGGCGAGGAAGAACCTGATGAAAGAGGCTAAGGCCAGAGTGCCCAAGCACAGAGGCCAGGAAGGCAGTTAAAGAGAGCTAAGCTGCCTGTGGGGCCACCCAGGGGAGAGCCAAGGCCCACGGAAAACATAGGTTTCACCTAAGAGCAAGCCCCTTCACTAAGTTCCCATTGGTTCCCTCTGCTGGGTAACAAGAGGCCTTGACAGGACATGGGGCCTAGCAGCAGGACATGGGGCCTAGCAGCAGGACAGGGACACCCTCTGACCGTGATACCACTAGCAAATGCTAGGGGGCTTGGGTGGGCAAGAGCAGCCCAGACCTGCTCTGCACACCCTGTAGGGGACACCGACCCTCACCCTAGTCTGGGCCTGCTTCTCAGTGCCGCAAGGCCAAGTTGGAGGAGGCGGTGGCTCTGTTTGGCTTCTTCAGTTCCTGTGGGGAGCTCCAGTCCCGGCTGGAGGAGCAGGCAGCCCTCTTCCAGTTGATGCAGCCCCAAGCTGACAACTTGGAGGCCATGCAGCTCAGATATGAGGTACAGCCCCTGGGAGCCTAGGAGGTCTGGGGCTGCATCCTTCTCCCCCAGTGTTCCAGCCATCCTGTCATTCACTGCTGAGCCCCAGAGCCAGTGTTAACTGGGCCTGAGGAGGGAGCCAAAAGCTATCTTGATTGTGAGAGTAAAACAAAATACCCCTCAGAGGCATGGGTCCTCCTTTTCCCCAGAGCGTTCTCACTGCACTGGCCATGAGGAAGGACCACTGGGCTGAGGTCAGCCACTCTGCTGAGCAACTGAAGCAGAGGTATCCTGGGAACTCCACCAAAATACAACAACAACAGGCAGACCTGAGCCAGAGGTGAGAATCAGGGGAGCACAGGAAGGGGCAGAGCCCAGGCCTGGGCATCCCTTGTTGCCGGGTGCAGTGACTGCACAGTGTGAGCCACAGGGAGGACAGGGATAGCCAGTCTGGCAGCTTCTGGACAGCAAGGCTATGGCCATGGCCCCAGGATAGGCAGGAAGGCCTCCCATGATGGAGACATTCCTGTCCCCTCTGCCTAGGTGGGAGCAACTGGAAGCCCTGAAGAAGGAAAAGGGCCTGCTGCTGGCCCACAGCATGGAAGTGTCTGGTCTCCTGCAGGAGTGTGGCCCCACACAGACCCAGCTGCAAGATGTGCTACTTCAGCTGGGGGCCCTGGAGCCAGGGAGCTCCAAAGATGACCACCATGCCCTGAAGTTGACCCTGCAGAAGGTCAGGGTGCTGGAGAGCAGGATCTGCTACCTCCAAAGGGCAGCCACAAAGTAAGACCAGGTTCAGCATGATGACAGTGCCTTCGGAGGTGGTGGAGGCAGAGGGAAGGCCTGAGCAGGGTGGTGCGGTGAGGAAGAGGACAGAAATTGGACTGGAGAGAAAGTGGCTAGGATGTGCTTGTCAGGGGGCTCAAGTGGAGGTGGGGACAGTCAGCATGAGAAAGTGCCCTGGTGGAGAGGAAGGACCACATGCTCATGCTGTCCCTAGGTCATGGGAGTGGGTCTCACAGTTGTCACCCCTTGCCTGGGAGACACACACCTTGGCATAGAACCAGTGCCTTAGGCACCAGGCCCAGGGCAGGCCTGACTATGCAGTGGCCCTGTCTCCTAGGGTGGCAGAATCAAGCCCTGCAGATAGCCAGCTCCTGCAGGAACAAGTGGAGGTGTTGCAGGGGCTGCTGAAGCAAGTGCAGGACCAAAGGGCCAAGCAGGCCTGGGGCCAGGCTGAGGCTCAGGCCCGGCGGAGCTTCCTGCAGGAGAGCCAACAGCTGCTGAAGTGGGCGGAGGGCATCCAGGCTCGGCTGCACAGCAAGGAGGAGCCGGTGGACATGGCCTCAGCCCAGAGGCTGCTGAGGGAGTGTGGAGAGCTGCAGGAGAAGATCCACCTTCAGCAAGAGAGGTCAGGATGTGAGGTCAGGCAGAGCCCAGAAAGGGAGGGCAGGAAGTGTGGTCACTAGAGGAGTGACCCAGGCATGTGTCCAGTATGGCTCCTGAGGCAGCATGGTAGGGGGACTAAGGTCTGGGTTGGGCAGCCTGCATGTTTCAAGGAAGGTCCCAGGAGGCAGATCCCCCTAGGTAGTTCCATCCAGTCTAGTGTTGCCAACATTCTGGATAACACAGACCTCACCTATCCCTGGAGTTAAATGGCTCAGAACAGTCCCATGGGACTGAAAGCCTCTCTGCCTGAAGGGATGATGTGACCTCCAGCCAGCAGCCAGGGCCACCACATGGCACCCTTAGACTATGCCTTCACAGGAGTCTTACAAGTGTCCAGTGGCCCCAAGAAACCTCTCCCTGCATCCTCCTGCTTGGTTTGGGGCAACAGCAGTGCAGAGGAAGCAGAGGCCTTCTGTACTTCTCCCAGCAGTGCTGCCTGTCCCCAGAGTGTGGGGGGCTACATGAAGCTGAAGGGTATTTTTCCTACCTGCTCAAGGCTCCTCATGGTCTGGCCATGGGCCGGTGGGCAGGCGTGCGTGTGGTGTCAGTGATCTGAGTCTGTAGTGTTGTGCTGCCCCAGCAGGTCTGTCTGCCTGGACATCGGCCACTGGCAGTCCTCATTTATAGGCTGGCGAGCAGGAGTGAGGGTGTGGCCCAGCTGGGCCTACTGGGTCCCAAGCACTGTGCTTGTCACATTCACTCTCTCATTCCCATGGGGCAAGGGAACCAACAGGGTAACCAACTGCAGGTCTTCCTGCCAACCACCTTCACACCCGAGCTCTACCATGAGAGACAGAGGAAGAGGGGAGGAGGAAGCTGGGAGAGAAGCCAGGTAGAGTGGGACCCTCTCTGCTTGTTGTCCTGGGCAGGCTGCAGCAACTGGAGGCTCAGGGTCAGCCCCTGGCCACGTCAGATGCAGCTCACTCCCAAGAGGTCACCAGTGCCCTGAAGCTCCTGGGCCAGCGCAACTGGGAGCTGAAAGCTGAGTGGGAACGGAGACAACAGTGGCTGCATGAGGGGCTGCAGCTGCATAGGTTTGGCCAAGAAGTGAATGACTTCACTGCCGCCTGTGCTGACTACGAGGCTGTGCCATGCCTGGACATCTTGGGGGTATGGTGCCGGCAATGTGAAACTAGGGTGACAGGCTGGGCAGGACTCCATTCTCCCAGGCATAAGCTCAGGTTTCTGCACCCCAGGAGGATGTGAGGGAAGCCCAGAGCCTGCTGCAGCAGCACCGGGGCTTTGAGTGGCTCCTGAGAACCCTCAGCCTTCGTGCAAAGGCTCTGCAAGCTCGTGGTGAGAAGCTGGTCCACAGCCACCACCCTGCTGTGCACAGGTGGGTCTAACCTGTGACTGCTACCCTAGGCTGGGGGAGTGGTGAGGGCAGAGGTGGGTGGGCCTCGGGGCAGAGACAAGCTCTTTCCGTCCCTGCCTACCAGGGTCAGAGCGCAGCTGCAGAGCGTCCAGGTGCAGTGGACCAGGGTCCAGGAGAGGAGTGAGCAGAGGCGGCGGCAGCTGCAGGCTTCTCTCCAGCTCCAGGTGAGGGGCTGTCATGGGGGAGGGGCCTCCCAGAGTGGTGCCTGAGAGCCCACCTTTCATGCTGTCCCACACATCCTGGAAGTCACTTACAGCACCTCTGGAAGCAGGTGTCTTTTGAATTTCTAGATGAGCGTGAGCTGTGGCCTGGGGCACTCAGAGGCTGCCTGGGACCTAATATGTGTCCAGCCCTGGGCAGCACCAGGCGGGGTCAGTCCAGTCCATTACGGAGCAAGAGTGCAGACCTGACCTGTTCATTCTCTCTGGCCACAGAGTCCTGGCCACCTGTCCCCATTTGGAAGGCAGTAACCCCAGGCTGCACCTTCCTTACACCTCAGACTTGGCTCTGGGTCCTGCCTTTCCCCATGTGGTCCCTGAAACTCCTCTACCTAGATAGGTCCAGTGCCAGTTCTTGTCCCTGGGCTAGAAGACCCACTCTCTCCCGGCTCTTGGGCAGGAGTGGAAGCAGGATGTGGCAGAGTTCATGCTGTGGATGGAGCAGAAATGGGCAGCAGTGGCAGATGAGCCCTCCCAAGTACCTGGCAATGTCCTGCAGAAACTCCGGTGGCACCGAGTGGTTGAGAGCGAACTGCTGGCCTCTCATGGGCATGTGCAAGGCCTGCAGCAGGTAGGGATGTGAGGCAGAGGGTACAAAGCTGTCCCTCTCGAGTCTCAGCACACACAGCCCACTGTGTGTGACATGGAACACAGTCACTAAAGAAGACTCACCCTAGAGCAAGACTCCCCACTGCCCCCTTCACTTGGCTGGGTGTCCCCTTGCCCTTGCCCCAGTACCCGAACCAGCACAGAGGCTGCTGCCCTTCGTGCCCCCTCTGCTGTCTAGACCGAGCTCCAGAGCCTGCCTCTGCCTAGAGCAAGGCTGTCAGCTGCTTCCACCTAATGTCTGCTCCCTCTGCTCTGTACCTCTCCCTCCTCAACCACAGATGTGGGACCCCTGAACTGCTGGACCCTAGGCAGCCAATGGAAAGCAGCTGTGGCCCATCACCCACCCCCTCCTACCCAGGTCCAGTCTACTGTGATTGCCAGTGGTCCCAGCTGCTCAGAAAAATAATGCCTTGGACCTTGTCTTTTTTTTTTTTTTTTTTTTTTTTTTTTTAATGTATTTGGTACATGGTCTCACTACACAGCTCAGATTCATAGTGAGACTCCTGTTGCCAGCTTCCGCAACGCTGGATTGCAGGTGTGCACTACCACTCCAGGTCTCCAGGTCTCAGTGGTTGAAAGACTGACCCAGAGTGTCCAGGGACGGAGCCAGGGGCAGGACCAGCAAGCATGTGGTGCTGGGGATTGAACCTGGTCCCTGCACTTGCATAGTCCCCTGAGCTCTCTTGCCGACCTCCCTGGGCCTTGTCTTCACACTAGGCCGGGAGAGAGCTGTTGTGCAGCTGGCCACATGCCCAAGAGGACATACAGACCAGCCTGCGGGGCTTGAGTCTCAAGTGGGAAGAGTCGATGCACAGGATGGCAGCGCGTGGGACTGAGCTTCAGCAGGCTGCCCGGCAGGAGCAGTTCCTGGGGCTGCTGCAGGTTCACTGGAAAGGGACCTAGGCCAGGGTGGGAGTGGGCAGGAAGGAAAGAGCCTGAGTTGTAATCCCAGCACTCTGGGAGGCTGAGACAGGAGAACTGCAAATTCAATCCCACCCTGGGCAATTTAGCAATTTAGTGAGACTGTCTCAAAGTTAAAAATAAAAAAAATAATAATAAACTGGCTTTGGACACTTCAGTGCAGAGGCTGTAAATTCAAGCTCCAGGACAAAAAGGAACAGTCTGGGTGTCCTGCTGCCTCTGGGGCGGCCCCAACAGTCCTGCAGCCTAGGGTGGCCTCTGGCCCACAGCAGGTGGGGCATGGCTTTACCCATCAGTAGGCCTGTACCTGTGTGCCCAGTGTGTGGTCAGCACTTAATCCTCTAGGGAAGAAGCATGAGGGGAGAGGGCCAGTGTGGGCACCGCTAATGCAGCCCCTGTGGTCACCCCAGGATGCCAAGGAGAAGATGCAGCAGCTAGAGGGTTCCCTGCAGTCCCCAGAAGGGGGGCTGGACTTGTGCTCAAGCCAGAGGCTGCAGAAACAGCACTGCCAGCTAGAGTGCAGGAGCCAGGTGCTGGCCAGCGAGGTGACTGCCCTCATCTCCCGCGCCCAGCATGAGGCCACTTCCCAGGCCACCCTGGAGGAGGCCCAGCAGTGCCGTCAGAGGTGGGTCCCGTCCACCCACTCCCCTCCATTCCATCTTCATCCTACTGTGTCACACCCCCAGAGTGGCACCTGTGGGGCTAAGCTGTCTGAATCTCCTTCCGTTGTAGATAGGCTCATTCTAGGATGGGAGGGCCAGAGTCTGGCAGTCATCCTAACAGCCTGAAGGCCGGGCGTCCTATCGATTGTGGAGTGGGGCCCTGTGCCCCTGTCTCCCCTCAGGGAAGGAGTCCTCATATTCCCTGGGCCAGCCAAAAGAGGGACCTTCTCACCTGTTCTTACCCTCTTGATTCCCTCTTCTCCCTCTACTCAGGCTCAAGTCTCTGGAGGGCCACTTGGCTACCAGGCACCTGCAGCTGCAGGCCTTGGTTGAGCTGTACCAGTTCAACTCCCTGACCAGCTTGGAGCTCACCTGGGTGGCTGAGCACATGCCCAGTGCCAGCACCACCAGTGGTGCCCAGGGCCAGGCCAGTGTCCAGAGCCTTCAATATAAGCACAAGGTAGTGGCTGTCTTTTCATCCCAGGACCCCAGACGTCCCATTCCCATGCTTCAAAGCCCTCTGCTACTGCTCAAGGTCATCTCCCTGAGATGCTGATTTCCAAATCTCTGCCCACCTTTGCCTGTGGCTTTTGCTATAATTCAGCCCTATGGTTAAGCAAATCCCATGCAGCTCCCACCTGTCTGTGGCAGGAGCTGCGGGTGGAGGTGCGAGTACACCATAGGCAGGTGCGGCAGGTGCTAGATTCCGGCCAGAGACTAGTGGCCTCTGGGCACCCCCAAGCGCAGCACATTGTGGAGCAGTGCCAGGAGCTGGAGGGCCGTTGGGCAGAGCTGGAGCAAGCATGTGAGGCACATACCCACAGCCTGCAGTCGGCGGCTGCTTCCCAACAGGTAGGCTGCGGAGAAGGAAGGAGCAGGGAGGGTGGTGGTCCCTGCGAGGTAGCCAGTGGTGAGAGCTCTGTGCCAGGAGCTGGCTCATCCCCATGTGGATTCAGGCCCTCTGCCTGCTGCAGTGAGCAAGGTGTCCTTGCAGGGTGATAGAGGGCTCTGTCTGAGATGGCCAAGGCAAATTGGTCTCATTCTTGGCAGTACTTTCTGCATGTGTCAGAGCTGGAGAGCTGGGTGGAAGAGAAGCTGCTGCTGGTGAGCAGTCAGGACTTCGGCAGAGATGAGGCAGCTACCCTCAGGCTCATTAAGAAGCACCAGGTACCATGTCCCAGCACCCCACAGTGGGTGGTGGTGGGGCCAAGAGGAGCAGCGAGCTCGTCACAGCCTTCCAGGGCGCATCCCACATCTCACTGCACCCCGGCTCGAGGGTCTCTGTCCTCTGCTTCCTCCCTTCCGAAGCACATTCTGCTCCCTCAAGGTCACCTGCTGCCACCATGCCATGCCTTCTGCATGTCCTCCTCCCAGGCTTTGAATGATACCCTGCAAGTTAACCAAATGTTCTTAACCAGATGCGGGGGCCCAGTATAATGTCCCTGCCCCCTCCTTCCTTGACCCACACTACCAGAAGTCATCCCTCCCTGCTCAGTAATGGGCTCCCTGAGGCAAGAGCATGTCTTCCTTGTATGGAACACAAATACAGCATCAGTACTGAGTAGGTGGGTGATGGGTGGGTGGGTAGGAGGATGAGTTGAAGGTTAGATGAGTGGGTATGAGTTGATGAGTGAATTGGTGGGGGCATGGACAGGTAAGGGGTGGATGGACAAACAGGGGCGCAGGTGGGTAGACGGAGAAGCCACCTGTTTTGAGCCTAGCAGGACCTCTTACTTTGGCAGGTGCTGGCACAAGAAATAGCCCTTCATTGGCGCTCCATGGAGGCGCTGGACCTGAGAGCCCAAGCCCTCGCTGGCCACGAGGCCCCTGTGATACAGAAGAGGCTTCAGGGACAGCTGCAGGCACTGCAGGAGGTGGCAGCTACACGGTGAGGGGCGTTACGACCCCCTCACAGGATACAGGGAGCTTTATCACAGTTGACCATGCCCATCCCATGGCCCAAGGCCCATACAGCTCTGTCAAGAGAAGGATGAGGGCTGGGTGTGTAATCCTACCCTGCGGGAGGTTGGGGCAGGATTGCTATGAGTTCCAGGCCAGTATGGGCTACGTAGTAAGTAAGTTCAAGGCCAACCAACCTAAACTACATTGCAAGACTCT